TACAAAATTAACAAAAATACTTTTAAGAGTACAAAATTATGGGTTAAAGTCTTTGTATCCTGGGCTTCCGCTAAGGATATAAACCAAGATATTTTGTCGTATCAGCCTTCTGAACTGGAYAAAGTCTTATGCAATGTCTTCGCCGAAGGGAGAAAAAGTGACGGGCAAAAGACTACGAGCCGGACTCCTTGAGAGTGATGCTCTCAGGCCTCGACAGGCATTTTAAAGAAAAATGAAAAACACATTTCATTAGCCAGAGACCGAGAGTGTACTAAAAKCAGGGCTGTTYTGCGAGGGAAAAGCAAGAGAGTTTAGACAGCAAGGCCATGGCAAGAGACCGAATGCAACAAGAGCTTTGACAGCGAGCGACGAAGAGCAACTTTGATCTACTGGAGCTCTAGGAGACCACACACCTAAGTCGCTGATTTATACTATGTGKTACCTATTGTCTCTTAAACACGTGCCAGTAAAGAACTGATGAACTTGTGGCCCTCTATACTCTTACACTCACTACCTCTACATTAAGTATTTTAGCACACAACACTCCTCACATGTTGATTTTTGCTGAGGGAGTGTAACGTAATACGTAATTATAGGATATATATTCATGGACCGTAATTTATTTATGTATAAAGTTAATGAAGTTTAAATTACGCCCGATACATAGATGCCCGTGAAAATGTAATTTATTCAGAGATATAAAAGAGCGGCAAGCGGAATCGAACACACATTAAGAGAGAGAGAGACAATTTCGAGCACAGTCAGTTTTATTAAGCAGTGAGTGCAGACCTTCAGAGTCCTCAATTAACAGATACGAGAGACACAAGTCCAAAATAACAGATACAAAGGACGAGTCTTCGTCTAACAGGTAGAAGTCCACAATAAGAGATACAAAGAACGAGTCTTCGTCTATCAGATAGACGTCCACAATAACAGATACAAAGAACGAGTCTTCGTCTAACAGATAGACGTCCACAATAACAGATACAAAGAACGAGTCTTCGTCTAACAGATAGACGTCCGCAATAACAGATACAAAGAACGAGTCTTCGTCTAA